CCTTGCAGGGCAGCATAAAGCCCACGGCTCTCATTAAGACAGAAAAAGTTCAGGTGTTTTTTAAAATATGTGAATCAGGAAATTGTCCATATACCAAACTGAAGGATTGTTGTTCTTTACTTAAAAAAAAACACTTTAGATTTTAAAATGATAAAATTTTCTTTCTTCTTTTATTTTTTTTAATTTGACAATTCAATATATAAAATGATTGCATAAAAACCTGCTTTTCATTTCAGTGTTAAATTCTTTTTAAATTTACATATTATGATAAAAAATGTCTCCAAACCTTTACTGGTTGATGATTTTCTTTATTCGGACCCCAGTGATTTTTAATTGGTTACCCCTTTCTTAGAGGGATGCAGATGAGCAAAGCTGATGATAAATAAATGTTTTATAACTCCTGTTGCAGTAAACGGTGGATATATGCCAGACTTTTTATTTTTAAGCAATAGTTGTTAATGTTAATAGTAGTTAAAATGGTATCCTTTCCATTTCCCGTAGTTATGCACTCCTATTACTACACCTAGTAAAATCACAGTAAGTTAGTTTGAAGTTTTCTTTTTTTATGAAATTATATGAAAAAGTTTGAGATACAAAAAAACTTTACATGGTGATTAGTTACAAATTGTGAGACATGAATTGCTTTAATGGAAAAGTTTACCAGGAATCCAAGACAACTCAAAGTCCCAAAGGTGCTAAAATATCAGCCCCCTCACCGCTGTCTGCGTCCAACAACATCCATGCTGCAGTGTTTTTGTTCCATATTTGTCAGGCTGCAGTGAAGGAAACGACCTCCGATAAGCCGCAACGAAAAAAGCGACACCACGCTCCGACAGCGGGCGCTTTGGTAATGGAAGGCTTGACTGGAGCTGATGTCAGTGCGCTCCAGAGGAGTGAGAGATAGAAGCGTGCTATTTCAAGTGCAATGACAGTGGCTACAGCTATGTGTGTGTGTGGTGTGTGTGTGTGTGTGTCTGTGTGTGGTCTTTCTTGTTTTTAGATCTTCAGCAGTGGATGAAAAGATGACATGTTATGATTGAGTGTGAGAGCGAACACGTGTGTGCGCGTGTGACTCAAAAGTGTGTGAAGATTTTCAGACGGGAAATCATTCTTGAAATGAAAGGCAATGTCGCGAGTGATGAAATTCTTTCATGCAAAGTGCAAGATGGGGTCTGATTCTTCATCTGCTGGCCCCTTTGGTCACATTTAAAAGATGTGATGTTCACTAAATCAATGGGAGTGAATCAGATCAGATGTTTGGTTCTGACTCAGGACAGCCTGTATCTAATCATACACTGCTACATATGATGTGGGTAGGGGGCACACAAAAGAGTCATAAGAGCATCTATCCAGTTCCCCATTGCCATTGCACACCTCAGGGAAAAACACAAAATGGGTTAAAAAATTCCAGGGATGGAGATTGAAAGCCAGGCTGACAGAGCAGAAGAGCATCATGCTTTCCCTGAGCGCTGCCTGCTCGGTGCTCATGCTGACAGGAAGGTGATGCGAACAGCAGGGACTCTTCACAGGAAATGAGTTCTTCACTGTTACCCAGAAACCTGCACTCAGCCTGTTCTGATAAATGCACATGAAATTCCAGAGACCCGCTATGAATTCCTGACATGTTTGAAAAGTCAAAGTGTTGCTTTGAAGCTCAAATTACAGCCAGAGAATTAATCAGAATGGTGCAGGGAAAGAACAGTTTATCAGTGCCATTAAAGTAGCCCGGGCGCTTGCAGGTTCAAGTTAATTTGTTAATATTTCCCCCATTTTTCTCTTTATTATGCAAATTCTCCTGAACAAGTGGAATAGGACATGAATGTGTTTTGGATAAGGCTTTAATAATGTGGCTTTGGGTTACTGTGTTAAAGGGCGCTCTTTTCAGCTGAGTGGAATAAGCACCCAGTTACAAACATTAGCTATGCTCCTTTTTAAGCTGAATTAACACAATCCACAGTGCCTTTCATAAGCAATAAACTGCACACTTCAGTTCCTGCAGAGACACTGCAGTACTTCCTGCTGTGGTACAGATAGGAACGAGATACTTTATGCTGATAAAGCATGTTTAAAAGAAAAGGATTCATTCTCACAGAACTTTTTAGACTTTTTCATAATATGACCACAAATTAAAATAAAACCAACAGACATAAAAAATTGTATATTAGTTAAGTGGCAGTCATTATTTCTCAGATTTTTACAAAAAGAAACTGAGAGTTCCTATTTGGATAGTATATGTATGTATAGCTCCCTTTATTTTATTACTCCTAATTAAAGTTTCAATAGATTGTACCTGGGGGTAATTTCACTGAAATACAGGCAGTGGTGATTGCATACTGTAAATGGGGCCCTCAGGCTTTTAATTCTATGCCAACCCTCGGCACCGCACACAAGCAAACAGAAGGACACTTATTTGAACAGATCAGGGCAGTGCACATTCCAATGAGGACCATTACTTAGCAGTTTTAATACTCATTTGATTCTCAGGCATTTCTATTTAGAGCTGGAACATTTTCTTCTCTGCTTTTTCACAAAAAAGTGTCCTCTCATACTGTGATATGAGGAACATCACTCTAAGAGTATCCAGTCCAGGTTTGATTAGTCTAAGGCGTAGGTCTTCAAGAGGGGGTCCGCGGCCCCTAGGGGGTCTACAGAGGTACTGCATGGGGTTCACGAAAGTTTTGGTTGATTAGACTTTTTATTTTATATCCCCCTGCAATTTTTTCCACTAACTGAAATGTCTTTAAATACACAAATAGTAAACAGGTAAATGGATGCAGAAGATGTCTTTCAGTCATCAATGCACAAATCAGAATCAGAAATACTTATATAATCCCACAGAAAAATTCCTTTCATTACATGACCACATGTAATAGAGTGACTATAGGACCAGTTTGATATAACACAATTTCACACAATATGTATTATTAGGGGGTCCCCGTTCTATCTAGCTATCAATTTGGGGGTCCTTGGCCTGGAAAACGTTGAAAACCTCTGGTCTAAGGGCTTGATCTTCAGATCGTTACAGGTCTTAAAACCCATGCAAAAAACAAAACAAAAAAAAAAAACATTGCACCTCTTATCTGGAATCGTTGAAAAGATCTGACTTCAAGTGTTAAAAATGTTGGATTTACAGGGGTGGATGGCAAACATCCATCCATTTCCCATCATGTTTTCATGTCTTAATTCTCATCTTACTTCTTTTCAAAGAGTCATGAAATGTTTATAATGTCAGTCTAATCATGATTTCATCTTTTAGCTTCTGATGAACAAATATGAACAAATAGCTTTCTTGCTGAACATCTGAAGTGTTGGACATGGACTGTTTAGAATATATGTATATCTATCTATCTATCTATCTATCTATCTATCTATCTATCTATCTATCTATCTATCTATCTA